AGAGGGAATGGGTGTGTGCTGTTTGTGTGCGAGTGAGAGAGAGGAGGAGAAAGAAAGAGAGCGAGAGTGTGTGAGAGAGAGAGAGAGAGAGAGAGAGAGAGAGAAAGAAAGAAAGAAAGAGAGAGAGAGAGAGAGAGAGAGAGAGAGAGAGAGAGAGAGAGAAAAAGAGAGATAGAGTGTGTTTATTTTGGACGGACAAAAACTCAAAAAAAGAAAAAAAAGAAAATTGCCGGATCATACCCGTAGGTGTATGTTTATCACGATAAGTACCAGGATCCTAACTATTTTTGACCCCACAAATTTGCAAACATTTCACTCACTCTACGCAGAAATTTCGAGACGCTATTGAAGGAAAGACTTAGCATTAATTTACAGGGGAAACTTCCATGTCTGTGGTATCGAAATCATCATGTTAATTCCATGTACTCATTAAAATAAGCAGGTCATCAGCATCCGACATTTTCACGGGTAATGAAAAGCAGATCGTGACTGTACTTTGGGAAAGAAATTCGACGAAACAAAATAAAATTACGAAACAACATTTGAAAATTCCCGTCCAAAGAAAAGACATAGAATGAAATTCCACAGAAAATAGCTAGGGACCTTCACTGCATGGTGCATGCCTTTGCATTAAATTTTTCTACCATTGATTTTTTAAACAATGTTTGTTTTGTGTGCAGAAAGCATGAATTATTAAAATGAACAAATCATCAGCCGTTGACATTCTACCTGAAAAGAAAAACGAACGTGTCTGTGGGGTCCAAACTTAACTTGTGGAGACTTTTAATGAAACAGTTTAATAATTGCATCACAAAATCATTCCCGAGGCAAGAATGGAGTAGAGACATTTTAGCATGTACTTCCACACACAAATTTCCTTGTTTTTGACACTAATGTTGTTGTTTTGTTCTAGATTATCATTAGAAATGACATAGAGTACTTATTGGTGTCAGTTCGGGTTCGTTTATTTGTATTGTATTGTTCTACTTCTCATTTTGTTTTTCAGGATTTGTCTCGTATGCAGAATCTGACCCATTAAAATAATGAATTATAAAATGATCAAATCACCAACAGCCAACATTCGTCGGGGAAAATAGACGTGTTTGGAGCCCAAACTGTACTTTTGAAAATGTTCGATGAAATTGTTTAAACGTTTCACAAGAAAATCATGCCCGAGACAAGAATGGAGGAAAGACTTAGCATGACCTTTCACAGAAAAACATCTATGTTTTCAGTGTCAATATTATAGTAGGCTACATATATTTCAGGAATTTCTTAAAATTGCATGGAATACTTGGACGAAGGTATCATCTCAGGCTCAGAGGACGTCGTCTAATGACCTATCATTGCTTACAGTCGCTGGCTGCTCTTGTACCTTGTTGACAGATTTAGTCCAGTCCATCCTTTGATATTGTTAGTTTAGATTCTTAGTCCGTGTGCCCCACATCTTGTCTACGAGTTATTCTTTCCTTATGCTTTGGAGCCGTTTTACATTACCAACCTACATTACTTTGTATTATATTTTTCTATATATCATTTTGTTTATCAGGGTTTGTCTCGTGTGCAGAATCTGGCACATTACAATCTTTAATCAGTGAAATTAACAAGTCACCAACAGCTGACATTTTTTGGAGATTAAAAAAAAGTGTATTTGGAGTCCACACTTTACTTTTGGTGACGTTCAGTCATCATCATCATCATCATCCAGTGCCAGATCTGCGACAGACATCGGCGATCATGGTTCTCCATTCATTCCCTTGTTCGGATGCTCTAAAAAAAAGCTGCGTCTCCCTGATCTTTCCATGTCACCCATTTTTTTTAGGTTCCCCAAGTAGATTGTTCTGGGCCTACCCCTGCCTCGTTTGCCTTAAATGTTGACAGTGAGAGCTACATGTTCAAGACTCTTATGTCTATTCAGGTATCCCAAAAACTGCATTTGTCGTTTCCTGATTGTTTTTAACATTGATCGTCCCATGTGGGCTTCATCAAGACCTACCTCATTTTGACGTTCGATGCAATATTTAAATACATGCATCAGAAAATCGTTCC